TTGTCTGAGTTGCCATGGCCAGTAAAAACTGAGTTTATGACACTTCAGAGCATAGGCATCGGCACCTAAGCAACTTCTTCTGACAGAATCCCGGAGTATTGCAACAGCCAGTCGCTGTACTGGATCAGTAAGCAGTATTCGGCTAGTGACACTGAAAACGCAGTTATGTAACTCCGTCAAGCGAACGCATAGGTCAGTCAGCCACACATTTCCTCCCATCGTTGACGGACGTCCTCCTGACGTAGAAACTTATGTAGTCAGTTGAAATCCAAACCACGTTCATCTAAAGCCCTCAATGATGTTGCCTCCACAATGCGAATTATATATATTTTTTCCTGTTTATGCAGGAACATGCCAATTGTACAGGCATGGATAAGTTATTATATAAATTACACATGTTTCGATGTATGTTGAATTTACAGTTTGTTTGTTCTTTCTGACATTAGAGTCAGTGGGAACAGTCTGCAAAATAGTCTGTCCGTGTAACACATAAAGAGATATAGAAATATTGTCTTCGCATTAACAAGAAACCCAGACTTCAGATGTATGTAATACAAATATCTGGGAAAAATAAAGCTTGAAGTCAATTCTCCTATATAACTTTGTTGTGAACAGCATCCTTGAGTTAAAGTTAATTGATGTATTATTTTGAGGTCAGTGATGTATTTATTCCATTTTTTCACCAGTCTAATCGTAATTTTATAATAGGAAAGAAGTTTGATTGTGGATACGAAAACTGAATTAGGTCATGTTGGATTGCTTTACTGCATCCAATGGGGCCGAGGTCGATTCTAGAACTATCCATTGGCGCCATTTGTGTCATCATGGCAGACTGTACATGTAAGTTGAGTAATACATTGAAAACTGTTTGAAAACCAGTTGCTTCTTTATATCAGATCAAGAATACTCCCTGTACAGAATGTTGGCCAGCGTTTTCAAGTGGTTGCAACGGATCGTTCATGGAATTTGAGTTTGAATTTACTTAAATGGTCATTTCAGTTTAGATGTTGGGTTGTTCGACCTCGACCAGGAGGTATATAGAAGAGTACTCTCAGCAGCAGAATAGCAGAAAGATAAGGTATGTGAACATGAAGAGAACGTTAATATTTTATGTATATATAAATGTTAATAAGTGTATATCATTGTATAGTAAACAATACCTATAATCTAGTTGTTTTTTCAGGTATTTTTGCGAAGTCTTAGAGTTTATTTAGTGTCGTAATATTTAGTAATGAGTCTAGGCGTTATAGTGTTCTAATAGCTCATGCGTTTTAGAAATAAGTGGTGTGGTGTGATTGGCATAGTCATTTGGATGAAGCAGTTTATATAGCAAGCGTTTGAAGCTTATAATAGAGTGACAGGTCCTTATTTCTAGGGGTAAACTGTTCCAGATCTTAGAGTACATGACTATGAGGAAGTTTGCACGGAGTGCTGTCTTACAGTTTTTCCTAGATACTCTGCACGTTTGGTTACGAAGGTTGTAAAAGCCTTCCGGTGAGAACTGTATCTCCTTGCTGTCTGAGAATGATATTTTATGCAAGACTTATGCAAGACGTGGGAAATCCACGACCTCATCGTTCTCTAAGGTGTATGGTCTGGCGAAGTGCTCGCTAAACAGTTCACATATCGCTTCATTATTTTCGTAAGCAATCCCTTCTAGGTATATTACTTTCGGATAGGCTGTTTTGGAGTTCGTCAACCTACTTTTGAAAAGTTTGGCTATTTCTCCTGGGTTATTCGGTTGCTGAATGACCCGCATTTCTTTGTTTCTGAGGCCTATATTTCTCAACTCTTCAATTCTAGTGAGAAGGGACGTAATAGCAATTAGTGATGATAAGTCATGATATCTGTAGTATTTAATTGAGTGCTTCCGTAGACTTCTCCTTAACGATGTCGGAATATAGTCGCTTTGGAGGAATTTGAGGCTAGAAGTCTTCTCAGGTGCAATGACGTCATGAATTGAGTTAATATTCTGATAAATGTTGTTAAGAATTGCCTCTAAGGATTCGCTCGAAAAGCATGAATCCCAATTATAGCATCTAATTAGGTGCTGATACAAGTCCCAGTCAGCATGTGTGTACAATCTTATGGGTGTCTGGTCAGCTTCATCTCTGCGCTTTGTTTCAGGAAAGATGTTAAAAGAACACACCCCTATTTTATGGTCACTACCTGGAAACTCATATCCCACGTGTACTGTAGATGGTGTTATGTTGTTCGTGAAAATAAGGTCTAGAATATTTGCGGATGTAGTGGGTGGATTTGTGTGTTGCGTCCACTCTCCTGTGACGATGGAATTCAGGAGATTATCATACCTCTGGGATCCTCGGAGTGAAGGCCATGATACTTCTGGCATGTTGAAATCACCTCCAATAATTTTATAAATGAAGGGAAGATTGGTTGTGACATTAAAAATGTTGCTGAGCATATTGTCATACTCCCTGCTGGCAGATGGGGGTCGATACACACAACCCACAAGTATAGGTTCACTTCTGACATATTTTGTTTCAAAATCCTACTCTTTGTTCATATTCTTTTCTTGCTTAAATCCTGGCTGCTTTGGTTAAAATCATATCAGCATCATTGTTGTAACAAAGCTTTTTTTCATCGAAAATATTACAGTCGCCATGCTTAGGCCAATATGGTTTGCATTGAAATTGCAAATGTATACTATCATTTCAAGGAGTGTCCAGCTCCTTCTTACATTTATCTTGTACATGTACGTCCAATGATGCATTATCCGTAATTGTATTTGATACCATTTTGCAGCTCCCCAGGACGTTCTTTCCCTGAAATAACTTTTAATCGCGTGGCGGTGTAGCACTCACTTAAATATATGCTGTTCACTGGTTGACCATAACTATCAGCGGGAAACGGAACGAAGTTTGGGTTGTCGCTCAACTATGATGGTGACCTTAGTAAAGGGTTTACAATTTAACATTTATGATAACCTGTTTCTGATTGCTTGTACAATAATCGAACAATTTAAACTTTGGAAAAATCATTAATTTGTGATACTTCGGGAATGTGATTTATAACATAACTGATCGTGCCTGTGAGAATAGAATGCATTTCCTATAAATTTACCCGTTTATACGAAATATAAATTATTATTATTCTTACTCCCTTCAAATCGAAGTCAATAAATACATCTTTTAGCAACTGTATGTGTTGCACTCTTTTTCTAGTTGGGGCGGTGTTAAGAGCAGCCTTGCCACTAGGTTAGGCTGGTCAGGTTAAAGAGTCACTAGGCAAAGTTGCTAGCGCTCAAGTCTAGCCACCAATTAAACGTGAGCGTTATATCTAGTCGCAACCAACTCGAAACGAATTCAAAGTCATTCAAGCAGCCTAACTCATTGGTTTCCCAAACTATTTTCTTATGACCAACTATTCGGGACATAACCCGTGGACCGCAGCGAATCTTATGCATGACAGCATTTTATCCACACAGTTAGATAATGGTAGCGTTATATCATAAATTAACATCTAGAATTCGCATTGTGGAGGCAACATCACTGAGGGCTTTAGATGAACGTGGTTTGGATTTCAACTGACTACATAAGTTTCTACGTCAGGAGGACGTCCGTCAACGATGGGAGGAAATGTGTGGCTGACTGACCTATGCGTTCGCTTGACGGAGTTACATAACTGCGTTTTCAGTGTCACTAGCCGAATACTGCTTACTGATCCAGTACAGCGACTGGCTGTTGCAATACTCCGGGATTCTGTCAGAAGAAGTTGCTTAGGTGCCGATGCCTATGCTCTGAAGTGTCATAAACTCAGTTTTTACTGGCCATGGCAACTCAGACAAGAATAAGCCTCTGAAGAGTGCCTCATCTAATTGATGTCCAATAGCTTCTCACACTCGTGCTAGTCTATGTACGGCTGGATGATCGCTTAGCTCGACATCACGGAACAGTTCATCAAGACATTGCCGATCCGGGAGACCGTTTCTCTTAAGGATGGCTGTCATAAGCATCTCGAAGAGGCTGCTTGCCTCTGGGCTAAACATTTACACGGTGACGCATTTACTTAATTCCTACGGCAGAGTGTGGGCAACCACAAGGAACTGAGGACGTTGGTCAGGGATCCGATGCTTATCGAAGTCAGCTTTGGCTAACAGAAACCATGCTTCTGCAATGTCTGGCCAAAGTGGCACGAGCTTGAAGGTTGTGCTAGTTGGTCGGATACGGATGAGCTCTGGTATGTGGTCATCATGGTAAAAAGGATTCAAATACATTAAATACAACACAAGAACAAATACACGATGGCATGACCTCACCGGATGCGTCTGCGTGCTTACTAAATATGAAGTTCGCGGTAGGGCTCATTAGTTTAGAGGTTGGGGGTATGTTAACGTGCACAGATGGTGCGATGTATACTAACGCAAAATCTTAAACCCACAACTCCTTTAATGTTTGTTCCTCGTAAATCGAAAGCAAATCAAAACATCAAACTGATCATCTAAAATACCAAGTACATTTGAAGAACAAATCGCTTGACTATCAATGGATCGTGCAAGAACAGCCGAACGTGACACGATAGCGTGCCAAATAGGTTGGACGCTTGACCACCAACCTCTAGCTAGACAAGTCGACTTAAATGGGATCGGCATCCAATGTTAAATGATGAATGCTGTAGGCTAATAATTTTGGGGAAATTTTTACTGCTACACTTTCTTCACACCCCACGTTTCCAGTTTGTCTTCTATCAGCATGAAATCGAGTAAAGTTTTGGCATGATTTATCAGATTTAAGCCACGTGAAACAATTATAGGCATATACAAGCTGCTCTCACATGAATTACATACTAAAACTACACAGAAATTAGGCCTGAAAAATTAAATTTCCCGCCACCTGTAGGGTTGATGATACCGGTGAAAAAATTTCGTTCTCATGGAATCAGGATACGGAAAGAACACCTATAAATACTGTACGTTTAACTAATAAGGATTTCATTCAGCCACTTTAAGTCATCTCTACATCAAGGGATTTATTTTTGTTATGATTTTACTTAGTCGAGAAGTTATTGCACTACATACACAGGCGGGGATTTGGTTTCTCAAGGTTAGGGACGGTCAGACCAGGTGTCCTCCGAAGTCGGTGTGAGTTTTACATGTTTTATCAGGGAATTCAAAGATGTTTAATTCCACAAGGTGAAGTCAAATATCTGCATAAAATGTATGCTAATGAAGTCATACATGCATGTATATGCTGAAATAAACCCAAACTTACTATAATGCTGAATTAAGTTATTTCAGAATGTTCTAAACTAATTTTCAAATTATATCATGACTAAATTCTAAAATTATTCTAGCATGGTTTGATAATGCGCACAGACTAGGACACTGCTAATTTCAACATGTCATTCACAACACAGGAGAGGCTGCTGAGTCAGACGAAACAAAAGCTGAGAAGCTTTCCGAATACTTTTGTGATGTTTTCTCGCCTAATCGTACCACTCACGGGTGTAGCAAGGTAACTGATGTAGCCCCTGAAATGTCCCCAATTGTGGTAGATGATGCAGTGGTTCTGAAACTACTGTCTAAGTTGAAGCCAGGTAAATCACCTGGACCAGACGGACTTCACCCTAGACTGCTAATCTCTTTGGCCGATATAATATACATTCCACTTACGCAGATTTTTCAGATGTCTCTGACCCAGACTAGGCTACCCAGGCACTGGAAAGATGCTTTTATAAGCCCCATCTTCAAAAATGGGAACAGGCAGTTAGTATCTAACTACTGCCCTGTAAGTCTGACCTGCATTATAGCAAAGGTGTTAGAAAAACTCATAAGGGATCAGCTCTTAGCTCATACGGAAAAACGTGGCTTACTGGCAGTGGAACAGCATGGATTCCGACCAGGACGATCCCGCTTGACAAACTTACTGTTAGCTAGGGAAGATTGGGTCGTGGCCAGGGATAAAAACCATCTACTGGACGTTGTATTTATCGATCTTAGTAAAGCATTCGACAATGTATCCCATTTAGGTCTTCTTAGCAAACTTAAACATTTTGGATTAGTTTAGTGACTACCTGATGGATAGGAGGCAGAGGGTAAGGGTTAATGGTGTACTGTCAGGGTGGAAAGCAGTACTAAGTGGAGTACTTCAGGGGACTGTACTTGGCCCCCTGCTATTCCTGTTATATGTATATGAAGTGCCAGAAATTCTTACCTCATCTTCCTTACTATTTGCGGACGATATTAAGATATGGAAAACCGTAAATAGTAGCGATGATAGGTTGGTACTACAAAACAATCTAGACAAATTAGCCGAATGGGCTAGCTTTTGGAGTCTGGAAATTAACTCCAAAAAGAGCGCGGTAATGCACCTAAGTCAGAAGTCTTACACGTCGTACTCCATGGGGGACACAGAACTGCCAGATGTTAGGGAACAAAAGGACTTAGGAATTATTGTTAGCCATGACTTAAAAACAACGGCAAACTGTAATCGAGCCGCAGCTAAGGCTTTTCGAATGCTATGGGCAATTCGAAGGGCTTTCAAACGATTAGATGAGGGTATGTTCCAAGTACTCTGTGCAACATGTCAGGCCTCATCTAGAGTACTGCATACAAGCGGCGAGTCCATGTTTCAAAAAGGAGGCACATACCCTGGAAAGAGTACAGAGGGTAGGAACGAAATTAGTTAATGGTATCTCACACCTTCCTTATGACATGAGTATGGAGCATTTAAATCTCTTCCCATTATCATACCGAAGGAGGAGAGGCGACTTAATTTTGGCTTGCCGTATATTCAAGGGGGATTTAGGGATTGACCTGTCAAACCATTTCTCTTCCCCTGGGATACATTTACGGGGTCGCCAGAAGAAGGTGGTCAAACCGAGGTCGAGTAAAATGCGTTTGGAGTTTAGATTCTCTCATAGAGTGGTCAACGACTGGAACTCCTTACCTGATTCAGTAGTAACAGCTCCATCGGTGAACACTTTCAAGGAGAAACTGGGTCTCTGCAGAGATATTTATCGCGAGGATTAACATAGGCAACAATAGCCTTCTATCCTTATAATCTGACTCTAATTCAGCACCCTGTGCTTTTTATAGTCATTTTCAGAAGTATTGGTTTGTAGGGATTTTGTTCAATTGCATGGAGGATTTCATCATGAGCTCAGAAGCTCCTGTGTTTGTTAATCAACGTTGTTTCAGCCGTCTCAGTCCAGATTCAGCATTGATTGGCATTACTTCAGAACAAAAAGACTTAATTCAGCGCATAGTGACAATTTTCAGCTTTATTTCAGCATTAAAGGCAATAATTCAGGTGGACATCCTATTTTTTAGTGTTTCATTGCATTAATTAAGCGTTCAGTGCTCTTTTCAAGAACGGCCAGCGTTAATCCAGTACATAGTGGGTTCATTTTAGGTAGATGAATTATTCATTTGCCATAAAAGGGCATTATCGATGCACAGAATTATTGTTAGCTTAGGAAGAGTCTGTGAACACTACCGAATGGGGGAATTTTTCTTCAGACCTGGGATATGTGGGTGAAAAAATGGGCAGTTTTCTGTGCGAAAGTGGGCTATTCTTGACCTCATCACAGGTAAGGTGGGGAAAACTGGGCACTTATTGTTAAAACATGGGCTAAGTGGGTGATTTTGGGTGTAATAGTTCTGAGGAAATCTTAGTGGATTGCTCCAAAGTATAGGTGTGTCCCCAGGAATTCTCCGGGTTCCTCAGAATAGTTCAAAAGTTGTGTGCACATATATTGTGTTCATGCATATTTGTAAATAATGTAGGAAAACAGCGCAATGATATATCCCAAATAAAAAATGTGACAATTTTGGTGTTTCTTTTTGGAGGGGATGCTTTTCTCCAAAATTCTTGCATTGAGATACTCCAAAATCCTCTTTTTGGATTTGTGCGGAATATCAGTTCATTTCATTTCACTCGTTATAGTTAAAAGGTGCCAGTTCAGAATTTGTCAGCACCACTTCAGCATTATTGTAATCGTGGGTATTCGTATGTAGGTATACCTGCACACAAATACCCATGCATATATATGCATTGTCGAAATCCATCGTTCTAAATGAAGGAATTGGAAAATCTGCTACTTCTTCTGCATTCCCCAGACATTCTCTATTTTCCACATTGACCATCCCCAAAGTCTTGTATTCGATTTGGTAGACGGCACTCAGTTGAGCATGAAAACGAAGTTTAGTCGTCATACCAATGGAAAGTAAGAGAATTGTTATATGTGGACAATCTGTATGACTGGTTGCCCATAGTATAGTGTTTAGCGTGGTTGGTGTGTGTTGATTTGTGTTCCTCGATTTTACAATCGCTAGCATATCTTTTCTCAAAGATGTCTGTACTATCAAAGATTTAGTCTACGCCATTTCCGTACTACTGGATCAAGTCCTTACGTGATATTTATTTTTCATCTCTTGATCTCTCAGTGTCAAGACCTCTATTTCATGTGGTCCTCGGGCAACATGTAACGCATTTCTAATTGATCAGTAATCCTTCAAACAAAAATTACATATTTTGATACCACCAGTATATTTGCTGTTGTAAGCGCCGATGGTTATTTCTTTAGACATCAAGGTGAAACAATCCGTTTCAGTATATGACACACGTGCAGTATGTTAAGGAAAATCGTGATCGAAGATTTGCATCGTCCAACTGTTTCTGACAAAGGGGGATTGAAAATAGTATGTCTCCTCTATAATAGATAGTCAGATGCCATATCATTGTCGCTGGTGCGTACCTGGCTTCAGCTGCAGGCTTATTGCGATTCGTTTAACTCTCATAATGAATTTAATTATCAACGCGTTCAATAAGTTTACTTCTTATCTTTGCGTGATATGTTAACGCACAATTGTCGTAGCATCATCCCTTATTTGACGTAACAAGTGTATGTGTCGTCTTGAGACACTCAAAACTTCATATGTTGTGATTGTCTTCTGCAACGCGGCTATATTTTTTCATGTACAACTGATAACTAGAGACAAGGGATTTAAGATTATGTCCTATCACCGTAAACATTCAACGGTGAACTTTTTCGTCAATGAGTTGGGACAATGTAAATCACATTCTGGTTTAAATGCAAGAAAAACTTAAGTATATGGAAGAAGTAATTATTTGTAGGTGACTTTGGATAATGAGACCACTGGAAGTAATGTTTCTCAGTCGGAGAACTTTTCGTAAACATGTGTAAAATGAGTGAAAATGTAGGTAGAATTCCGTTAAAAATTGGAAAAGGTAAAGGGTACTTCTCGAAATGACATGCGAAGATGTAGGCAACACTTTCTTTAAAGCTTTGTTGAAATGAAAAGTGGGTAATTTGTTCTTTGAAGAAAGTGGGTAAAGTGGATAATTAACTTTTGGGAAAAACTGAGGAAAAGTGGAGAAAGTGATTGTTTTGTATTACATTTTACCTACCTTTTGCCCACGTCTCAACCGACCAAAATTGTCCATTTTATCCTTCAATTTACCCATGTGCATTGTATGACTAAGTTTCATGTCAAATCAAATTTTATTTCCCCATAAAAGGAATGCATCAATGAAATCTAATAAACAACAGAAGTACTCTTTTTCATAACTTCCTCCTTTTATATTGTTGCATATTCATATTGTTTGATTACATCTGTGAACAAGTGTCAGAAATCTCTCTGAAAATGAACTTGGATGGAAGAATGTTCATGTCACGTTAGGTAAATTCCTTTAAAATCAATACTTGGAAGTATTGGGAATGTTATTCAAATACTATTATTATTATTATTTCGTTTAATTCCTAGAAGAACATAGGGCTTCAGCCGTGCGTCTCCATTGCGTTCGGTTCTCTGCTAGAGTTTTCACCTGGCTCCACGTCTGCCCACATGCTTTCATCTCCTCTTCACATGACCTACTCCAACTCACCTTTGGATGACCAACTTGCCGCTTCCCTTTCGAGTTCCACTCGAGGGCTAGTCTAGCGATGTCATTTTATGGTTTCCTCAGAGTATGGCCAATCCATCTCCATTTCTTTCTGCCTATTTGTTTCACAATCGGTTCCTGGTTGGTTCGCTCCCAGAGATCTCTGTTGCTGATCTTTTCTGGCCGGCCATCTGCTCTTGAGTGGTATTGAGTGAAGACAACTGTTAATGAAGGTCTGTAGTTTGTTTTAGGTGCTCTTCATGACGCGCCAAGTCTCTGATCCGTAAAGTAGCACTGACTTAACATTGGAGTTGAAAATCCGGATTTTGTTTTTCATGCTGAGTGCTGTTGACTTCCACACAGACTTCAGAGTAATGAAAGCTTGTCTTGCTTTTCCGATCCTTGCTTTGATATCCTCGTCAGTTCCGCCTGTAGTTGAAACGATGCTTCCCAGGTAGGTAGGTAGGTGAAGGAGGTTGCTTCTTTCAGATCCCTCCCATTTATGCTGGCTGATTGTTATCCGTTGTTGTTGTTCATGTCCAGGAATCTTGATTACCTCTGTTTTCTCTATGTTCACCTGAAGCCCTATCTTTGATGCTTCTTCTGCCAAGTTGTTGCTTTTCGCTTGCATACCTTACAGTTTGTGGGAAATCAGACATATATCATCGGCGATCCTCCAAGTTTTTTTGTGAGAATCCATTTTATGCCTGTTTCCTCATCGCCCACTGTTCGTCGCATTATCCAATCTACTGCAATCAAGAAAATCATTGGCGATAGCTCTTGCATTGACTTAAGTCTCATTTCTTTGGCAGTTTGAATAAGTATCCTTTCTTCCAATCCTCGGGTACTATACGAATGCTTTTTGTGCGGATGTTTCTCATCAGCCTAAACACTCGAATTTCAGTCAATCAGTTCTAGATTCCAGTTCCACTCCACCTACTTTAGCCCATACAAACCTGTGTGCATTATATTTGTAACCTGGTACAACAAAAAGTCTGTTCCAAGTAGCTAAATTACAACTAACTATTAACTCTCTCTTCATATTACAACATTGCTCAGTTACACTGGTAAGTGTTCTGGGGGAGAATGAAAAACATGCCGCCAAAACAATGGTTGGTGCAGTTGTTTTCTCAAGATTATTTGAATTGATGACTCTCAAAAAAGTATTTAGCCTAAACACTTTATCTTCCATAATTAGGAATTACAACACATTGTACTTACACATGTGTTATACGTATATTTTTCAACTCATCTTCTCATATTACCCTTTTCTAGGTTGTGGTGTCTCCTACCGTTTTTTTTTTTGGTCGACAATTTGACATTTACATATCAATATATTAACCAGTCACTACCATTCAAACGCCTATTATCATCTCCATCACATATAATGCCTATTGCAGGATTGGCTAATATATTTCTAAATGATTATAAAAGTTTCAAAGTATGCAGATTACAAAATAGTCATGTTATCATTGATGGAGAAGATTTTAGTAAATATATCTATGAAAATGAAAAGTTGTCTATCACTTATGGTGGAGAATATTTATCTTATGCTGTACAGTTGAAACAATTTCTTCGTGAAATTAAACAATGTAAAATTGATCCTACATTTATATTTGGATCCGATTGTGAAAGAGTTGTGAGTTCTCATATTCCTTAAATGTAATCGCTTTTAACCCTTTTTATATTATTACTGTTATTATTATTATTATTTCAGTTTACAAAAGTCATTATTTAGAAACAATCCTATTTGAAAACAGATAGGGCAAAAATAAAGTACAGAAATAATATGGATCCATTTCATTATGTTGATTCTCGTCAACTGCACACAACAACAAACTGTAACACTGAATAAAACACATTCTGTTTATCATCATCATCTGTCTGTCTGTCTGGATTCAACATAGAACTTGGCACCGAAGTGCAGCAGTTCCAGTTGCCACGTTCCAAAGAGCACACAAACGTAGACAAGAAAATGAGTGGAGAGAATCAATAGAGTTTTGACAAGTATAAGAGTGAAACAGAATGAGTAATGGTAGAAAGGAATGTGAAAGATTACAGAGACTGAATACATCTGCGTAAGCCATTGACAACGATTTTGAGCCATGTCACCTATTGTCTCCAGCCATTGATTCTTAGAGTCCGGAGAGCCCCAACCCGGAAGTCTGCATCTCCCTACCTGACTCAGTTTGACTGTCAAGGATTTCATGGATTGATGCCATGTTTTTGTCTGGCCATCACTTACTCTTTTCCAACCTGCACCTATATCAGCTAGTAATGCCCATCCGTCGGGGGAGGCGATGGTTAGGCATGCGCAGCACGTGATCTAGCCATCTCAATCTATGTAACTTTTTAGCCTCTTCGATTGATTTTCCCTCTTTGCCCAACACTACGCCTAACGTCAACATTACTTACTTTATTATACCACCTAACGCGAGAAAGAGATCGTAGACATCTATGATCAAAAACAGTCAACCTTTTCATGTCTTCAACTCGTATTGGCCATGTTTCAGAGCCATAGAGAAGGACGGATCGAACTGCTGAACAGTACACACGTCCCTTGGTTGATAGCCGAATGTCACGCCTATGCCAGAGACGGTGTAAGTTAGCGAAAGCAGCCCGAGCTCTTTGGATCCGTGCTGAGATTTCGTCACCAATCAATCCGTTGGTGCTGATACAACTTCCCAAATAGGTGAAGTGGTCAACATGTTCTATCACTTCACTCCCTATCACTAAGCTAGGGGTAGACGTAGTCCAGTCCTGTAGCAGCATCTTACATTTTACAGGGGCGAATCGCATGCCAAACATACGAAGATTGCTGCTCAAGGTGTTCAGAAGACTCTGCATTTTGTCAGCGTCCTCGCCTAGAAGGACTATATCGTCTCCATATTCTAAGTCAACGAGACTATTCCCTGGTAACAAGTCGATTCCTAAGTCGTTAACTTCAGTTAAGGATACTTCCATTAGCACATCTATGATGGACATCCTTGACGAATACCACTGGTTGTTATCAATTCAGATGACAATTCCCCATAAACTCTTACATGACTACGTGAGTTTGAGTAGAGTGCCTTGATTAGTGCAATGTACTTTCTTGGCACTCCCTTCACAGTCAAACATTGCCATAGTACCTTTCGATCAACGGAGTCGAAGGCCGCCTTCAAGTCAAGAAATATGGCAATTGTTGGACGCCTAAAAGTGTGTCTATGTTCTAGGATCTGTCGGAGAGTGAAGATATGATCTATGCACCCTCTACCTGGCCTTAAGCCTGCTCGATTTTCCCTCGTTTGTTCCTCCCGAGTTCGGCTTAATCTGCGCATAGATTAATGAGCCTAGGATTTTAGAGACTATGTTCGTCAGGCTGATTTCTCTATGATTATCACATGAGGACTTGTCTCCCTTCTTGAATATTGGTATAATAAGTGACTTACCCCAGTCTGATGGAACAGTCTCTGATTCCTGGACGTTACCTAGTACCTTAGTTAAACTATATACTAGTATATCACCCCCATATTTAAACACCTCCGGAATAATTCCGTCGAGTCCTGCCGCTTTGCCTCGTTTCAAATTAAAGATAGCTTTTGTGACCTCACTTACAGACGGCGGGCCAGTGTCTATATCCCATTCGGGTGTGTGCTGGATGGCGGGGAGGCTCAGTGTGGCTGTAGACAAGTTAAATTGTTCCTCAAAGTGTTCTTTCCAGTGTTCAAGGCGTCTATCCTGAGAGCTAATTAAGGAGCCATTTTTCTCAGAAATAGTCTCAGTTATGATTTGCCTTCTCCCACCCGTTTCCCTGATGAGTCTAAAGAGTTGCCTAGTGTTTTGTGATTTTGTTTGAGTCATAGCATTGGGTTGGGTAACTGCTTTTTGTCTAACCGCTATCCAAACAACCTTTCTGGCATGGTAGGACCTCAAGCGACATAAGTCTCAGCCAGTATAGCTTGTTGGCTCATTGCGGTGTGATAGAATGACTCTAGAGGTATTTAAGTACGGTGGAGATAGTTTACTGTCTGCTTTAACTAAGGTATTAGGCAGCATCTGGGAATCACTGATAGTCCTCTCGGGTTGATGTAAGTCATTGATTACCCCAATATGAAAGAAGGGAGACATGTCTTCCTGGGATAATCACAGGGGGATAAGCTTGACCAATATGGTTTCTTAAGTTCTAGGCTCAATACTCATGCATAGACCAAGTCGTGCTCGAGAGGAACAAACACGAGAAAACCAGGCAGGATTTAGACCAGGAAGAGGGTTATTGATCATATCTTCACCTTTCGACAGATTCTGGAACATGGTCATACTCACCACCGGCGTCCAACAATCGTCATATTTCTTGACCTGAAAATGGTATTCGATTCCTTTGACCGAGAGGTAGGTCCTATGACGAGGTTTGGCTGTGAAGGGAAGGAAGGCCGAGAAAATACGTTGCTCTGATCAAGGCACTTCACTCTAACTCATGCAGCTAGCCAGGTGAGAGTTGTCATCTGAAGTGGTGACAACCAGTGGTGTCCGTCAGAGATGCCAACCAATGTCCCCATTTATGTTTCATTCCATTATTGATGTACTAATGGACTTAACCCTAAGTGACTTCAGCGACTCATGGATTGGCTTGTTACCATCAGGGAATAATGTCGTTGACTTAGCATACACTAATGATACAGTCCTCCCACTTGGGTGAAGACGCTGACATAATGCAGAGTCTTCTGGACACCTTAAGCTTTGAACAATCTTCGAATGTCTGACATGCGATTCTCGCTCTCCCGTCAAATGTAAGATGATGGTTGCTACAGGACCGCAGTACATCGACTACTCATAGCTTAAAGATAGACAGGAGTGAATTGGTTGGTGGAGTTTGTTGACCACTTCACTTATTCAGGAAGTTGCATCAGCTAGTGTCAGCGGGTTGATCGCTGACAAAATCTCACCACGGATACAGAAGGCTGGTTTTGCATATACCAGTTTACTCCATCTCTGGCTTAGTAGACGTGATATCCAGTTGGCTATTGACCAAAGGATGTGTGTACTGCTCAACAGTTGGCTCCGTCCCTCTTTATGGTTGGCTGTGAGACATGGCTGTTGGAAGTGAGAGAAAAGTGACATGAAAAGCCTCACTAGCTGTCTTTGATCATAAGTATCTGCATTCTATCTCTCGTGTTAGATGGTATAATAGGATGAGCAATATTGAGGTGAGGCGTTGGTCGAGTACTAGGTCAGGAGGGGAAATCAATCGACGAGGCTGTGAAGTCACACCGATTGTGAGGTGGTTAGGACATGTGTTACGCATGCATTTCTAGCCATCGATCGCCCTCCTCGACAACTGGCAATGTTAGCTGACTGACATAGGATGGATCAATTTGTTGGAAAAGAGTCAGTGGTGGTCAAACCAAAACGTGGCTTCATCAGTCAATACCGCAGATGTATCCACTCCTTGTGATTGATCATATCGTAGAAAATTCTATTGTTCTTCTATATTACTATTCTTTTTGTCTCATATGTCTGTTTATGGATCTCTTTTATTCTCTTCTCTTGGTTTGTGTACAACATTGGAGGGATTGTGGCAATTCGAAGTGGTGGTGCACATCTGTGCAAAGTTTTGTGGTGAATCCAGTCAGGGAGATACTATGAATGGTAATCAAGAAAGCAAGTCTACATGCGTCATACGATATACACTACTGATTGATTTGTATGAGTGGTTGTATACCACTTTCATCTTCCCGAAATGAGTAAGCTGGGCCCTGTTTAGGAGTGCATCAGTGAAGAATTGAACCTTGAGCCTCTTATGTGTGGCTGACTGACGTTTTATCATTGTACCAGTCACGCATATATATAGCCTCGTTAGCTTCGCGGGACTCGAACCCGAAGGCTTTCATTTCATAGTCAGGTGTATCATGGTTTATGTGGTTGACGTGCATACAATACCCAATTTGTTAGCACACTGTGTTTTTGTCTTCGTTTGATTTAAAAGCAAATTTCATCATCACTGTCACGGTTATATAACACTTGGATTATAATAATGTTGTCATTGAAGTGTTATTTATCTTGTCAAACTTCGTGTGTTTTTCCCCCCCCTCCGTGTTCCTCTAGGGTTTTCAACTTTCCAGTCAACTTCAAGTTATAGAATATTTAATAAAATCATTGTCTTCTTCTTCTTCTTCAAAAGATGCCAAAATACACAAAGTCTCTGTACGACCTTATCTTGGATTCCTTCAAAGTGTTTTAGTCGATATACTCAATGACATGGAGGTGAAACTTTTAAAATCTCCATATCCTCGTATACGTAGTTGTATCTCACTAGCTACGCATTTAAATTATCCGATTATCGGAAGTTCAGCAGAATATTTTCTTGTCAATTATCATCAAAGTGACTCGCATAAATCCTACTTTATTCCACTGCCACTTATTTTTCGGCAAAGTTATAAAGCTGACAATAATAAATCCACTTCTTGTAATAATGAACAACAAGAACAACAGCAACAACCACCACCCTCAGCAGCAGCAGCAACAACAACCGCGGCAGCAGAACTGATGATGTCTAACGAAGACAATGAAGCTAGTAGTAGTAGCAGTAGTAGTAGTTGTACACTGACAGAAAATTCATCGGATTCTTATCTAACAACTCATACATTTCAACCATCAACATCGCCTTTAGCCCGTGTGAATACAGTTTGTCGTCCGTTTATTGGTTTAATCCTGGGCAGTGATACACTGCCAAATACAAAATTGCCTGCCTATCTTTATCCTATTATGCATAGTATAGATGAAAAGGATTATAAAAGTCGACGTTTATCCACCCTAATCTCATGGTTTTCACAATTCACCACCAATCCAAAAGCACCTATTAATGAAATTTTAAAATCTTATCCAACGCAGGAAAAAGGCAAAATTTTGAAAATATTTACAGAAGTAGTAACAACATATATACCGGATCAACAATTGGCTGAGAATTTAGCCTTGCTACTAATTCATCAATCCAACAGTATTACAAGTGAAAGTCAATTAAACCGGCTTAATTTTATTAGTCATTCTAAAGAGCCTAATACTAATAAAGAATTACAATTATGGGAGAAACGTTTCAATGATTTGTTAAAAATAAATTCTAATGGTGGTGATGTTGCTGTTGTTGACGGTAAATCTACTAATATTATCCTAGGCACTATCAATTTTATCCATGCATGGCCAGACAATCTATTCCAGTTATACATAAAGCATAAACTTGCACCATTGATTCTCACTCCAATCTATTGTCATGGCGGTGTTGTCTTCCCGATACCATCGGTAGAAAGTCTACAGATTGAATCATCTGTGTATGAATTCTCTTTACCGCTAAGATGGATGCATTATCGTATATTTTGTGGTCTTGAACACCAGCTAGCACAACGACAAAAATTGATCGGGCTAACTGCATCATCACAGTTATTCGAGCATTTTTGTACCAGTGGTAAAACTTTGACCACTTTCCGCATACACATTGATCCATTAATTTTAAATATGAATAAAGATAGTACAGATCAGTTGATAGCCAGTCTAGTCGGAGTGTCTTTTACCTATTTCAAAACAGAATTTCAATGGATGATAAGTTTAGCGCTCACTCTAGCCTATTGGTTTCGTGAAAGTATTAAGAATAAGGTGTCAACTGGTACAACTGATGACCAACTCGGCGATATTAGTCAATCATCTGTTGTACTGGCTATAGCAGCTATTGCTGTTTGTAATTATTTCAATGTTGAAGAATCCGATGAAGAGACTGTTAAACACTATGGTGTATTGATAACATTTTTAAAGAATAAAATCACTACTACTACTACTGAACAATCTTCAATCAATACATCGATTGTTGATCATTTGACTACTGTTCATTATATTTATATTTATTTAAGATCATTAACAAATCTACTTGATCATTTGCTTCCATCAGATAAACAAAAATCCAGCTGTCTTACTTTTCTACCTAATTGGATAGTTTTCCCCTCTGGTTGTCTATTTTATAATCTTGTCAATGATTTAGAAGTATTGAAACCAGAGGATCGATTTCGGCTAACATCACGTTATTGGCTTCCCAGAATTTATCGTATCCCGAAATTATCGCCTGAATATGCATTAAAGTTGAAAAAGTTAACTGAAACATTTGAGCATGTTATTCATATAACAAAAGAAATGATCCGTTTACCATTAACTGTGCCAAAGATTAATTATACAAAAGAACCGACTGTTATACCCCCTACTGATTTATCTGCGACTACGTCAGGTGGTGGTGGAGGAGGAGGAGCCAGCGGCGGCGGCGGTGGCAGTCGCAGACGTACACGTTCAATTAAAAGTACATCTTCGAATAGTTATCTGGATAAAAAGTCTCAACATAAACCAGTCTCACTTAATTCAGACATACCAACAAAATCATGGACTCCTGTGCCTTCGTATCCTTCTCTTCCGAGTGCAGTAGGACCTTTATTTGTTAAAACACCATTTGGTGAGTCGTCAAATCGATATGATAACAAGAACAGCAACAACAACAGTGACTCTCATCAAGCTAGTAGTCAGTCATTGACAAATTTATCTAAAAAACCATCTAAACGTGTGCCGTATCATTCAAGGTCTACAGGTTATGCAGCTCGACTACTTGCTCGTCTTGAAGATGAAGCAAAATGAACACAGAATTCACTTATTACATATTTTTTTAACTATAAATTATTATTTTTTCTTTTGCAAATTTGTTATCCTTTGGCTTTTTAAAAAAAAATTATATTTTTGTTATCATCATCGTCATACTCTTTGAGCATATTTTTGACGCGGTGTTTATGTTTACCCTATGAAAACAGAAACTTGGTACATTATGATGCTCAGGTCCGCCATTTTGTTTATGCGAGAGCTGAAATATTGCAGGTGATTGTCTCTAAGGGTCTACCGCCGGCGCCCCGCCGAGAGTTTGACTTGTAGTCTGATCCGTTGTGGACTCTGCAGCGTATGCATACCACAGATTATATGGGATTAGGGTTGGCCAGCTTTCCTGTCCACCAGTCCGACGTTGGGATTCACTTTTGTGAGGAATACCCCTTCCCCAGCTGCATGAAGACTGTGAACAGGACTTGCCTGGCAAAAGCTGCGAAATACCAAATTCTACCCATCCTCGGCCGAATACCAAGTCGGTTATGCATAGAAATGAGAATGCACCCTAGTATCAGCAATAGACGATATGCAGGTGTTATGAGTATGTATGTCTAAAAAACTATATTCTCATTCAATATTAAAGGCACCCACTGCGCGCCATAATGTTGAAGTAGTTTTCCAATTACATCGTGGTCAACGCTGTCTGTTGAAGACCTTTTCGAAGTCGATGAAGATAAGGTACAGGTGTGACTACCATTCTATGCTTTGTTCTATGATGATGACGATGTTTAGAGCTACAATTTGATTAGCACATGATTTGACTTTCCTGAATCCGGCTTGTTCCTCTTCAGGTATTTTTTTGATTTGACACTAGTATCTAGTGTGATGTGTCTAGTCCTCTCTTTGGTGCAGACTGAATTCTGTCAATCAGGTTGTAATGTGGCCACCATTCTAGGTAGCTCGCCATCACGGTGGACATTGTTTGTGATGATATTAGATGGTTGGAGGCAATCGGCAGGAAGCCTTGCCTGACCTAGGGTTCGTGCTAGTTGGCAGTCACCAGTCAGCAAGGCGTATCTGCAACCTTGAAGGAACTCATGTCCTTTCTGAGATTCGAACCCGCATCACCCAGTGCTGTAGTCAGAGACGTTACCACTGAACTATTCGGGCTTGTGATATCCACTACAGTCCTACAGGAGGTCAATCGTGAGTCCGAATAGCTCTGACTGCAGCACTGGGTGATGCGGGTTCGAATCTCAGAAGGGACATGAGTTCCTTCAAGGCTGCAGATACGCGTGTCTTACTGACTGGTGAGTGCCAACTAGCACAAAACCTAGGTCAGGCAAGGCTTCCTGCTGATTGCCTCCAACCATCTAATATTATCCTCTTCAGGATTACGCAAATTAGTATTTTACTTGGCGTGGACAAGAGAACTGTTCCACGCCATTTCTTGAGGAGGCTAACTTCACTTCGTAGTTAACCGAAATTCTATGAGTGGTATTCAATGTAATGAAAATCTTATAACTGTAGCATTATCATAGTTCCTTCGTGTATTATCACTAAAACGAATGCATCTATTGCTAATTACGAACACATAAGTCAGCATAGGAAGAGATTTCTTTAAATAACTTCGCTTCAATAATGTAAGTGTAGAACTTGGCCACTGTAGAAGAATGTAATTTCATATTAGATAAGTTTGTTTTAATAATCCCACAAATCAAGGAAATATTACTAGTGAAAAACTACCCACCAGGATTTATTCGGAAATATATGAAGAACCATAGAAAAAAAAACTAAAACTAGCAATAAAAGTGACGAAAATAATATAGAATTTAAAGCCTCTGTTGTGCTGCTGTATTGTATAAATAAGGGACGTTAGATGCCTTACATAGAATTCTCAATGACGCTGGAATTAGGGTGGCATTTAAACCCACCAAACAACTCTCTCGGAGATAAACTTTGTCGGCTTAAGAACTCATCCGATGGATCAAATTAAGAAAAATAATATATTTCCAAGTATTGGTTTTGTAGGGACTGTGTTTGATTGGTTGGAGGGTTTCATCATGAACTGACATCAGTTAGAGAACCATTGGAAAATCTGCAGGGAGTACTGGACAACCGTTTCGTCCTGGTTTGGGACTCTTCACAGTACGCATCCACCGGGGTGTGTGGCCTGATGGTCTACGAGCTAGCTCGCCTTGTAACCAGAAGATCCTGGATTCGAACCCCAATAGGTGCGTACTGTGAAGAGTGCCAAACTAGGACGGAACAGCTGTCCAGTACTCCTAGGTGGTTTCCCAATGGTTCTCAACCTAATGTCAGCTCATGATGAAACCCTCTAACGAAAAATAATATTTGTGTAAAACTTGGTCACTGTGCTAGTAAGTAATTCCATATTAGTTTGTTTATTAGATGTATCACACAATGAAACAGTATTATTTACTGGATGACACTTCGAACAAAATTTATTGTTCATAATCATAATAACAATAATACCACTAATATTCATATCAATAGTTAACAAATGCTGTGTAATGCCTGTGAGGTCAATTACATAGGTCAAACTAGTAGGTCAGGGTCAACTAGATTATTGGAACATAAAAATTTAGCTAGACCTAGAATTATTGACCCTGCTAAGTTAAATAACCTAGAAAAGACAACTCAACGATTGCATCGCATTCACTTGCATGTAATCACACAATAGGTGGGGTGGGACAGGGTGAGAGTATTAAGAAGTAATATAGTTAGTTAGGTGGAGAGAGAGGTTAATCACTAAAGCTTTGTTTATCGATTCAACACTTTATATGTACATTGGAATGACGCAACGCCTATACTGGAGATATAGAAATAGGCAACAAAGGGAAGTTGGAGAGACCTAAAGAGGGAAAATATATAAAAGACAAAAATGTGAAACCGTGTGACTAAAATTGATAATCATGGAAACAAGTGACTCAGTGAAGAGAGACTCTTTTCAACAACGAATTTATTATCAAGCTGTACAATCGTATATGTATGTGATTTTATAAGAGATTATATCCGGTGAGGGAATTGAATCAGGTGTGAATGCATGGAATATTAATAGTAGTATGAAATGCAATTAAAATGTTTGTGATTATAATCATAGTTAAATGTCAAGTGGCAAAACAATTAATGTCATATATAGAATAATTCATAAGATGGATAGAACTTGAAAAAGGGTGTGCAATTATAGGATTAGTAGACAAATCGAATAAAATAAAAACGTTATGTAATATTGTGTGAAATTTGATAGCATAGAATTTAACATTGCAAAACAGAATTGATTTAGAATGACAAGTGAAATAATACCGGAGACAATTCAAAGTGTGAATAGTAATAGTAACAATTGACTTAATAAAGGAAGAGAACACAAAATGAAAAAATTGGTAGAGCCAACATATGATTAGGGATTACCATACTTAAGCATAGAGGGATTAAGACCATGAAAGTTGAAGGGGTTGAACGAACTTTTTCTTTACACAGAGATCTGACTTTTCTGTTTCGATAGCCAAAGCTTCAGCAATACAGATGAGTCGGGTACGTAGGGATTTGGGTAGATTACTCTTTGCCTTGTAGATGACTTTGAAGGCGGAGGCTATAGAGATAGGGTGATCATTATCGACCAGATGTTCAATGATAGCGCTTCTTATTGCTCCACTTCCACCTCTTCGTAACTATGCAGGATAGTGTTCTTGCACCCTGTTGAACAAAACTCGAGTCGAACGACCGATATACCAAGCTCCACGGGAGCAGGTGAATTGATAAATGCAAACAGTGTTGGTCAACAGCGGGATCTTGTCCTTCAGGTTATTGAACAGTTACAGTTAACTGGTAAAGGCTATTCATTAGGGAATGTTCTTTTCAAGGACTGTGATATCCATCTTTTCATGATATCGGAAGCTAAGTCACCTTTGAATCCCAAGCTCATGTACAGTATTTTCTTGGGTACGGATGATAAGTCACATTTCATAGGTTCTGACTGTATATTCTTGTCTATAAAACGTTGTGAAAATCCATTTTCTATTAGGATTTTTCTTAACAGATTTAACTGTTGCTCCACAGTATCGTGACTACATACATATGCGCTGAATGCCAATAGCAAGCGACCAGGTCAGGTTTCGTTTTCTACCAATGGATACCCAGCTGTAGAAATCTGTCAGTTGACCATTCCATGACAGCTTTCTATAAATCGATCTCTTCAGAGTTCCATCTGTCCTCCTTGATAAATTCACATCGAGGAGACGAATACTACACTCGTTCTCATCAAACATTCGTCAGCAGCACATCGCCATTTCATTCTACCCTGTGTTGTCAAAGTTGGTCTTGTATCCTGTTTCTATCGATTAATTTCCTTTGTGCTTCGGCGGCAAAGCGGTTAGGACTCTCGCCGACCATGTATATGGTACGGGGTTCGATCCGTGGCCGACTCCTCTACCTCGCTAAGCCAGTAGTAAGACTAGTAAAGAGGGAAGGTTGGGCATGAGGCTAGCAATCCCATCCTGTAAAAATAAACACTGCTACAGAAACTTCAAGCCTCTAGCTTGAAGCCCTATGTTCCACTGGGAACGTGAAGGAATAAAAAAAATTTCCTTGAAGAAGTATGGACTAGTTTGCTGAACGAAACGCTGGAATTACCTCTATTACAGAAGTAATAATGTTATCCAGAAGTGAGTTGCTGACAGTTCTTCGTTCCCGATTTGAAAAATAGGCTGGTAAATTCTCATGAGCACATCTAGACAGTGTCCTGGTGGTACAGCCGCCTATGCACTTAACTCTGTTAGTTTCTGCCAGTATCATCATTTCTTCAGTAAGCTCATCGTTGGTTACAACCGGTTATTTTGGATTGATTATCGAGTGATTAAATTTCAAGTTTCCTGAAGTTTTTAAAAGAATAATGCGGCAAACCTATGCACCTAGATTGTATCGACTATTGTTAGTCAACATTTGATTGGCTGAACGTTGTGATTAGCTGATTATTTATTTATGCTTAAGTGGATTCAAAACAAGATGACTGTTTTCGATAAATTCTTTCTCAAGCTCTACAGTTCCATCTCTATAGTTTCATACCCGTACAGTATAAACGGAATTTGATTCATTGTCTTAGTTATAGAATAAGACGCATATGTACTGAG